TTTATGAAGAAATTGAGTACTGTCCAAATATTACTCAGCTTTCTTCATTATCTGTTGAGCAGTGAGGAGAGCTACAGAAGACCATGCTCAGCTAGAGTTAAAATTTCCCTCCATTTCCCATTCTTATACTTCTCTTTTCCCACAGACTAGAAAGTGTTAACAACTGAATGATCTTGGTGGCCCATAGTCCTTCTCTATATATTTTAGCTTGGATAATTTGTATATGATAGTTTATTATGGAACATGACTTTCTAATGGGTGCTGCAAAAAGGCTATTTAGAAGGTATACTAAATAAGGTATTAACATAATTTAAAAAAGAGAAATTTATTATTTATAAACAAACTGTCAACAGATAAGTTATTTATGTGTTGTTTTCTCCAATAAAGTGAATATTCATGAAGGGAAACATTAATCCAATGAATAGTATGCCATCTACAATTTGACAGTAAGATCCCACTTCTAAAGACACTGGATAATGGAGTGATATAGCATGGAGACACCAAGCTGGTACTGGCTTGGAAACTTCATCTCCAATTGCTAGCTTTCATAGTGCTGGAAGATGTTGTGAGGGTTACCAGGGGGTAAATGTAGTCATCAATCTTAACCAGCTGAGGTGCAATAAAGACTGGTGTGATAGTGTCACAAACATCATGAGTCTAACCAGTCACCATATAAGGCCCACTTTGCAAGTTGAAACTCATGCTTCTCACTGTTATTGGAGCCAAGATCTTGTGGCAATGTGACATATATGTAGGGGAGAACCTACCATAACTCAACTAAATGAACACGATGTGTTAAATAGACTCTAATTATCTTATTGTTCTACCCAGAGATTAACACATCCTCAACCATCATCAGAGAAACTTATTTTTTCCAATAGATTGTGATTATCACAGAGATCCCGACTGGTTCATAGAACAGCAGATTGTGGAATGTTCAGCCCTAGTGGTGCATCTGTCTTAATTCTCTCTGAAGGCTCAGGGATGATTTGCAGAAGAAGGGGCAGAAAGATTGTGAGATCCAGGGCTAGTTGATGACAACTAGGAAACAGTCTTTACTGGACATACCAGTGCAGGTGAAGATATGAACCACAGTGGTTGTGATAGCATGTACAAGTCTTGTGGGAGATGGGAATGAAGTCCTACTCTTAGCTAAGGAGCAACTGGAAACTGATAGATACTGGGGAAAGGAAATTGAGTTTCTTTTTACGGGTCTGACCCCTGGTGGATCAACCAAACTCCAGTAAGGCTACACAAGCAAGAGTATAAGGGCAGCACAAATTGTACTTGATAGAAAAAAGTAATGCAAAGTTGGTCAAATATGGGAGGGAAATGCATCTGGGAGAAGTTGGGGAAGTTGAGAAATATGATCAAATACATTGTACAAAATTCCCAGAGAACTAATAAAATAATAAAAAGTTTTCATTTTGCTTATGTGTATGTGCTTGGTCTGCATATATTAATTGCATATGTGTGTGGGTATCCAAAGAGGCTGGAAAAGAGTGTTGGATTCCCTAGACCTGGAGTTATATGCTGCCTACTATGAGTGCTAAGAGCCAAACTCAGTTCTCTGAAAGAACAGCAAATGCTTTTTACTGAGCTATCTCTCTTTCTTATTAAAAAACAAAACAAAAAACTAAAGACAAAATGTTGCTTAAGTATCTCACAATTGCAATTGTGTTTTCAAAATAAGTTCATGTGTTGATGATAACAAGCCAGCTAGACCCCATAACCGTTTCTTCTTCCTTCCTTCCTTCCTTCCTTCCTTCCTTCCTTCCTTCCTTCCTTCCTTCCTTCCTCTTTCTTTCTTTCTTTCTTTCTTTCTTTCTTTCTCTCTTTCATTTTTCTTTCTTCATCTATTTCTTTCTTTCTTTCCTTGCTTCCTTCCTTTCTTCTTTTTTTTGGTTGTGAAAATCAAGGTTTCACTACTTAGTCCAAGAACCTAGGTTCCTCCTACCCCAGCCTCCCAAAAGCTGGGGATGCAGTTATGTGCCTTGCTTTCTTCTAATTATTTCATATAATATTTCTTTAGCCATTTTATTTTAAATTTGCATATACATTTTAACTACATATGAAGCAGAAGTTAGAATGCAATAATTCTTGTTGATTTTTTTCTGCAACATCATGCTTGTTGAATTTTGCAATATGGAGGATCTCCATTCAGACATGAAGACAGTCCACATATCCTAATACAAATGGAATAGACTGGGCTTTGTGTTAGGTAGACAAGAAAGTCTAGGGCTCAACATGGCATAAGCCTACATATGTGTGCATGTGCATAAATGATTTGTAAATCCAAGACCTCTGCACAAGTCAGTAATTTTCAGAGCCAACATACTTGGTAAATAGACTAGAAATGTTGCTCCACAGTGCAGGATTAGACATATTTGCATGTCTTAATCAGTTTCTGGTTGAAACAAACAAACAAACAAAAAACAATCAAATGTCTCTCCTGCCTGTTCCTGATCATGGGTTTTAAGTATCCCATTTAATTCCAGCACTCAGGAGGCAGAGACAGGCATACCTTTGTGAGGCATATCTTTGCTACAAAATGAGGCCCTGCCTCACAAACAAACAAATAATCAAACAAGCAAACATACAACAAAACAACAAACACCCCAAGCAAAACAAACGTCCTTAATAACAGTGTTTTATTTAAGGCTGGAATTCACAGTTACTTAGCAGTATACCATGTCTCCTCCCAAATATTCCAGTTGAGCATTCCCAGCAATCTGAATTAGACAGAAACATAAACAGTAAGACAAAATCAATCACAAATTATACATTGAGGAATGATCATCAAGCTCAGATTAGAAACATTTTTCAGAAGTAAAATTCCAAAGAACATAGGCTCAGTAATTTAGCCACCAGAAGCTCTGCAGTAAAGGGGACTACAGAATCATACACATAAAACAGGAATGGTTGGAGATGCCAGGTGCAGAATATAAGCCAGGCTGACTACCTTTAAAGGGATAGTGAAGTTACATTAAAGGAACAAGATATTACGAAATATGGCCAGGAAGAAATGCAGAAAAAAATTATCAACTGAAAAATGCAACCACTGAACTTAGAAATTCCATGAGATGGGAAATTTGAGTGCTGACAAGTTGGTGGCTCAAAATCAACCAGAGAGACTCCCAGAAGGAAGAGTGTCAGACAGGCCTGATGATGGCATGTCACACATGTTCTTTGTTCTCAGGAGAATGAGGGGAGTCATGGATTGTTTGGAGGAGGTAGGGGTGGTTAGACACAGCCTTTGAATAAAGGCAATGTGGTAATCCACATGATGGAATATTGCTTGGCCATAAAAAATAAATTCTATCATTTGATTCATCATAGAGAGATTTAGAAAATATTAAGTAAAACCAAGCAGAGACAGACTAATACCATGGGCTCTACCTCATGCATTAGTTTTAATTTCATCTTTGTTCAACCTAGAGCATCTAGGAAGCAGGAACCTCACTTGAAGAATTGCCTTCATCAGATGCCCATGGCCATATCTGTGAAAGATTGCTTTAATGATTAATATGGCAGGGTCCAGGGCTTGTAGGCAGTACCTTTTCTGGGCTGGTGGACCTTGGCTAATAAGAAAGTTAGCTAGGAATGAGCCAGTAAGCAAGCCAGTATTCAGTATTTCTCTGTGGTTTCTGTATCAGGTTCCTGCCTTGAGTTCTGGCCTTGATTTCCCCCCAAAATGTGTTATGATTTGGATATCTGACCTCCAAAAATTCTTTTCTCCCCAGGCTACCATTGATCACTATGTTCTTGTCTTAGCAAGAAAAATTTAGAATATACAAAATTCAAAATAATCGAACTTATGAAGGCACAGAGTGAAATAGTAATTATTTGGGCAGGGGAAGTGTAGGGAGGAAATGATCAAAAAGCAAAAAACAAAAACAAAAACAAAAACAAAAACAAAAAACAAGAAAACAACCAGGCGTTGGTGGTTGGTGGTGCATGCCTTTAATCCCAGCACTCGGGAGGCAGAGGCAGGCAGATCTCTGTGAGTTCGAGGCCAGCCTGGTCTCCAGAGCGAGTGCCAGGATAGGCTCCAAAGCGACACAGAGAAACTCTGTCTCAAAACAAAACAAAACAAAACAAAACAGAACAAAAAACCCCCAAAGCCAAAGCTCTTAGCCAGGAAGAATATGGGTTTTTTTTGTGTATGTTCGGGTAGGCTGGATAAGGGTTTTAGTACATTGCCTTGTGAATATAGCAAACAATAGAGCACTGTATGGTAAAAATTGCTAAGACAATATATCTCAATATGTTCTTACAACAGGTGTTAAGTATCAGGCAGGGTTGATTTAATCATTTGGGTTGGTCTAGTCATTCCACATTGTTTTTATAAGCCATAACCTGACTTTGTATTCTGTGAATTTATATAATTACATATAGCTATTTTCATTTTTTAAAGGATGGAAATTTAGAATAAAGACTGTTTCAATCAAGCCAAGACAGAATTCATGCCAGTATGCCTTCATGTGAGCAGGATTCAATCATCATGTGCTCTAAGAAGGAGAAAAAAATGCTATTTACCTAGTATGATAAGTATTTTAGGGTGCTATTTTAAATCAATTTTCTTTCTAACAAAACAGAAAATTTCCAAAGCATTAGAATTTCTAATTAATGCAGCATGAATTAATCTGACTTAATTATTTGCCCTGTGAGTTTGCATTTTGTATCTCCATTTATGCCAAATGTCAATCACTGGGAAACTTGATAGTAGAAATCTTTTAATCACTGATATAGACTGTATTGTGTGATATGGAATTATTTGTATAGTTTAGTGTGATAGTGCTAAATAACACAACTAATCTCCAAGTCCAAAAAGTTGTGGATAAATAATGCCACCTAATTTCTCAGTTTATATAAATGGAAACATTGAATAAAGGATACATTGCAATGTTATATACTATTGTATATACTAAACACCAATATCACCATCAATGCTATAATGATTTCAGTCTTTCCCTTTAAAATAAATCCAATACAATGGCTAGAGCAATCTCTGCATATATAATAGGCTTTGGGTTTTCTTATATATTAAATTTTAACAGTATCTAACTTGAACGCGAGAGGTTTCATATAACAAGAAATTTTGTTCTATTGAACTGTAAAATACAAAGTTATAAAGAGCATTTATTAATGATTAAATATTGAAGGGAAGTTGGAACATTTAATCTATTGAGAAACTAATTTAATGCAAAGGTACCCTGGTGATATAGACATTATTGAGACTCTACTTGAAGGGAAGGGAATATTTTCATACAATATAACTCATGGGAACTAATTTCTTTCTCCCTTGAGAATTTGAAAACTATTAGACTGTCCAATGGTACACTTTTCCAGCAGTACATAAAATCATATTAGAGGATTTCAGCAACTAAAAAAATCACCCAAGGCCAAATTTATCACTGGAGAAGCACATTCAGGAGAAACGATAAAAAGCATAGTAAGTACAAAGTTGAAATTGTTACTTTGAACTTATCCTGAAATGATTGGCATGGCATTTTTTTTATTCCGCCACCCTACTTAATTTTATGACAGGCATTTTGACCAAGAACAAACTGAATTGCTCTCAGATCAAACATAAATTTGCTGTTTTCAAACAAACAAGCATAGTAGTTAAATTTTCAGGAGTACAGCAACCAAATTGCTCAGCACATGTAGCTTCACTCTGATAAGCTTTTGTCATCCATTCAGCTTCTCCAAGACTTTACTTTGTACCTAAATTGGATGTCAGAATTGGGATGCTGAACACCGAACAACAAACGGCTGTAGTTTAGTTCTATGGTTTTGTTGTCAGTTATTTCTATATCAAAATAAGTTAAAAGTAAAGCTATCAGTAGTTTTAGTTCATTAATTGCAAAATATCGTCCTGGGCACTTGCTGGCTCCAAGTCCAAATGGCATGACAGAATACTTCAGCTTTTTTCCTCCTTTGAAAAAGGTATTTTTCTTCTTGCCATCTTCTATGAACCGATCAAACCTAAATTCCTATAAAGAATAACAGACATTGTTAGTATTAAAATTTTACATGAACTGATTTGAGTTAGGTCTACTAGGTTGCCATCTCTCCTTGTCTGTCTTGTTGTGTAAGGTTGCTTTTTGTCTGAAAACATAGAGGAGGAAGTAAAACTTGAATATGTGAAAGTCATGCTCAAACTTTCAAAAAATTCAGATGTTAGAGGGACACCTATATCCAATTACCTAAACTACTACTCTTTTTTATTCACATTTCTCTTGTCTTTTCTTACTTAGTATTCTGTGTGATGGGGAATGTACTGTGTATGTTTATCTTATTGATTGTTGAATAAAGCTCTGTTTGGCCAGTGAAACAGCATTTAGACAGGACTAGGAGTCAAAGAGGATTCTGGGAAATGTAGTAGAGAAATGATGTTCCAGGCAGGAAGTGACATAGCCAGGAGACACATATTTAAGAGAGGAGAAACAAGAAGTTCCCTTTTTCACCTCTGCTCTTCCTCCAGTGGCCCAATGTGATCCACTGGCAAGGAGGGACGCTAATAAGGCATCCGATAAGATAAGTCTTATAAAATATATAGATTTATGATAATTAAGACTGAACTAACAGATGAGAATCCTAGTCATTGGCCAAGCAGCATTGTATCTAATACAAGTCTCTCTGTGTATTAATTCGGGCCCTAACTTGGGCGGGCAGCTGGCGTAAAGCACACAAGTGGCAGTGGGGCTCTGGCGGCTTTGGCGGGAAGATTTATCGTAACATCTGTGCTGGGTAATTGATAAGGAAAAGAAGTTTATTTTGGCTCATGATTCTAGAGTCCAAAGGCCTAATAGCCTGGTGCTAATGGGGCCTTGAACTGTTCCTCACAATAGAAAATGACAGAGTGAGCTAGTGCATTTGGAAGAGTAAAAATAAGAGAGGCAGTATATAATTATAATAACCAACTTTTCTGGTAGCCAATATGGTGTTCAGAGAGTGATAACTGACAAGTCAAAGGCCTTACCCAACAACCTAACCACCAACAGGGCATTCAGATTTCAGGGTGAGTTTTGGAAGGATCACTCAGTACTCAAATCACAGTGATTCCAGTGAGATTTTTTAATCACCAAGGTTCCATCTATCTCCGTTTTTGTCCTCTATGATGGCTCTTTATATATAGACCTTTGACATATCAATTATAGGTATATGCTGCCATTGTTTCTATGAAGTAATACATCTCAGCAGCCACATTTTGGTTTTCATTTATCCTCCCAACTATCTATTAATAAATGAGTATCCTGAATTTTGGATTCAGTGCTTATGTATGGATTAAAGAGACAGAAAATAAGATGATTCAAACAAAGCCCTAGAGAGAACCTAAGCTGCAAAACAGGTTTTTTATATGTTAATGTGAATTTCCCCTATGACATTTCTATTGGAATGTACTCTTCTTGGACTAACTCTAGGTAACAGGCATTTCTGACATATTTTCTTAAATAAGTTATGCTACTTGCTACAGAAAATCAGAGAGCTGGTTTATTTAGGGTAGTTGACTTGCAGCCTTAATTTTGCCATGCTGCCAAAACATCCTGGCTCAACTCTCATTTGACTTTGTTAAAGGAAACTGAGTGACCGTATTTAAGTCCTCCATTAAACCATCAATTAGATTAATGCTCATTGCTTCAGTAAAGATGACCAATTATTTATGATAGTTGAAGCTCATTAGATCTGCTCAACCACAGTTTTGATGTAAACTACATGAAGTCAACTTAGAGTAAGTCAGATCCAACACATTTCAGGTTATGGTGAAATTCTATAATGTGAATAAATTATGAATACATCATAAATGTTTGAACTATTTTAATGGCAAATTTGGTAATATCAGGCTAATCATTTCCTTTATCAGTATTGGGTTTACCTTAGCTAATCTATAATAATTTATTTGTTAAGTATTTGAGCTTTGAAAAACTTTGAACAGTTCCTACTCTATCCCAAATTGGAAAATCAGTACAATGACGCTGACAAAATTATTTAGCATTTTATAGTTGTTTTATTTCCTAACAAGTGATACTTTAAACATACTTGAATAGCAATATATTTTACCACTGTTATGGAATGTATCCAAAGAGATCTAACCAATGCAGAATGGAAAATCTGTTCGCCTCTACAGTAAGCACAGTGGTATTCTCTGTGGACAGTGTTCTAGAGAAAGAGAGGTGTTACATGAAACTCTCCCCTGGTGAACTTCTTCCATCTTAGGGGCTCATGCCTACCTTTCTGAACTCACCACTGTTGCATTTTTCTTCCTGTTGACCAATTTAAGACAATAAACGCTCTTTCCTACAGCTTCCTGCTAAGGCCAAACAGCTTAAGTATATTTTGACATAAAACACAATCCTATGTCAGTGTGGAGGCCTCGGAAATCTATGGGGCCTCTTGTAGTAGATCAGTACTCATCCCTAGCATAGGAATGGACTTTGGGAGCCCATTTCACATGGAGGGATACTCCCTCAGCCTAGACACATGGGGGAGGGCCTAGGCCTTATCCCAAAGGATATGACAACTCTGAAGATCCCTATGGAAGATTTCACTTTCCTTGGGGAGCAGAATTGGTATGGGATAGGTATGGTGTTAGTGGAGGGCAGGGGAGGAGGGATGGAGAGGGAACTGGGATTGACATGTAAAACAATCTTGTTTCTAGTGTAAATAAAAAATGGAGAAAAAAACCACAATCATAGAAAAAATTAACTATAGTTCTAGTGTTTGTGTCAGAAAAAGCAAAAAAGAAAACTTCCCATAAGTTATGACTTTACAGTATCCAGATAATGTAAAATAAGCCTCAAGCTAACAAGGTTGCCCAGATTCTTCTCCATGACCCTCTAGGAGGCTAGGGCATCTCCCTCAAACTTCTAGACAATCACTAAGTTTACTCTTCCAATTTTCTGTCACACTGTCTTAATTTCCTCAGAATTAATATCTCAGAAATTTCCACTTTATTGCATATTTAGTAAAACTAAAAGGGAAAATATCAGTAGTAGCATTTGCTCTGTGCATGTCATCGTGAGAACATAAATATACAAATTTGAATAAAATTTAAAATAAATTTGAATAGTTATTTATTTCGTTTGTTCCACAGCCTATACATGGAGAACCCAGACAGATCCATGTCAGGAAAACCTATGATCTCCATTAGGGAGTTAGTTCAGTTTCAACCCCTTAAGGGAAGCATATTATAATCTCACCTGAGCCATTGGGGATAACAGTAACGTAAAGCAAAGGTAAGCTAGCAAGTTTCACTCAGTACTAATCACAAGTATTAAAGCCTCTGAGTGACCTTAGGGTGTTGGAAACAGGAGTGGGTGTGAAAGATACCAGATCTGCCTACTGCCCACTAGGTGTTCTACTATAATGTCCTGGAGGGGAGCACATTCACTGAATTGTGTAACAAACTCTCATTGACTTGGGCCAGAGGATTTGAAGCAATCTGGCCAGTGGTACAGAGGGAAAAAAGTCTGTGGGCCCTCTAGAATTCCTTTGCTTGGAAAGAAAGTGGCACAGAAACCAGTGGCTTGTAATCAGTCTTTCTCTGGACCTCATCATGCAAAGATAATGAAGTCTAAGTGCAACTAGAACCACCTTGCAGAAGATGGCAGAGTGGGGGAATCTCCTGGCATCTCCTTAGTCTACCTCTGCGTTTTCACAGCCTCCAACACAATGGCACTTCCATGGCAGGGTTCCACATATGCTTGTTGGAATGCACAAAGGACAGTAATGCCTATTTTTAAAGCAATACTCATGTTTTTGAAGAAAAGATAGATACAGAATGTGAACGTGAGTATACGGAGAATGAGATGTGCCTACAAATTCGGAGTGTACAAATAGCAGAAATGGTACAACACTGATGGACTTGAAAAACTCCAGTCTAGATAGGAGATACACTTTTCTGGATCATGAGGAACTTTTAATGTATATGTCAGAAGATAATTGCTTAGCAACCTCATTTATGTTTTCCTAATACTATGTTTAGTTCAGTTCAATGGACTTTTTAAAACAAGTGTTTCCTGTATTAGCGGCATTGCTAATACACAGGCATAAAGTACAGCCCTGCTTGTGTGGGGGGGAATACTTAATATGTTCATATCTTTAGTTCACTCAGTTCTTGACTTGAGTGTAGGAATTCTAAATTAGACAAAATATATAACTTCCTAGTAGTGAAAACAAGCAAACAAAACTTCTCAGTGTTTGGAAAAGTTAAGAGGACTCTAGTGCTGCCCTTGGATTCTAGTCTTCCAGGAGATAGGATGACATTGCAGAGAAGTTCTTTTTTACCTTCATGATCTGGGTTCGAATCAGTCATGAGTTGTTACCAGCTAGTACTAGCTTGTGAGAGGTTGTGTACAACTGTCCCATGCTCTCTATCAGAGTCTTTATGTTGGTAACGTCTTACCTCCCCAATATAGTAGTGTTTATACCAGAGACAATTAATGAATATTACAGGTTAGGGATTTCAAAACTGTTTCACCAGGACACTAAGGGTTTCAGTGTGATAGATGTGAAAAGTCATTGTGATGGCATGGCAGAAACTCCCTTAATATAAAGTACCTGGCTATGAGAAAAAAAAAAAGCCATGTGGGAAGGCCTATATTGAAAACAATAAAGACAAGGGGACCTTTTATTTTTGTGGCACTGTTATTTTATCAAAGTACTTCTGGGAAAAGAGAAGGTCACTTTGTGTTAGCATCCTTGAACTCTACTGAAAGCACAATCTATTATTGTTTAAGATAAATAATCATTTATTTATAGTACTTATTCACCTGTAATAACAGGTCTATTCAAAGAACAGTGATGATAATTAAAATAATTCTGACATTGAAGTTTCCACAGTGATGGAGAGTACTTTTTTCCAAGGGCTTTCAAACTCTTTAGCATTTTGTTACACCCACAACCTTCTGAAGATGGGGACACACTGCATGAGGTTTAACAAGACCTTCTAGTAGCAGAGCTTTTCTGGAATAGTCTGAATATGCTGTGCTTCTAATGTCACTTTGCTTTGTCTTTACCTCAGAAGCTGCATGGTGATGGTGACTCATTGACATCTTCAAAAATGCTGCCTGTTCTCTACAGCCTAATACTGTAAACATGTTTCACGCCTGGACCTAGAAAAATGGACCTGAGGCGTTCATTCACTCTACATAGCTCCATGGTTTCTGTTAGAAGAGAAACTATCACCATTCCCTTCCCATTACTTGATGGCCAGTTATAGGATTTCTGGCCTATAACAGTGGGGAATTTAAGGAAGACCTTAGAAAAACTTTAACAAGCAAATCATTGCTAGGTAATTAACGAATCATCTGGACTTTGCAGGATAGAATGTCTTACCTCTAAAGAGTGAGTCAAGGAGGGCTGCTTCCCTTGTTTTACTCCCATTGTATGTTTCATTTGCCTGTACGTTTTCACACACTGGCAAGAGCCATTCAAATATGAGATATCACAAGATAAGCAGCCCATATTTATTGAGAGAAAGAATAATCCTTCATACACTAGTTACATGGTGGTGGCTTACAGGCCAGATTAGATTTCAGAACACATTTTGTTTATCCCTTGTAGCTTTCAACTTTACTTTTCTGGATATTTGAAATTCTGTTTCATCTCAAAGTCAAGTTTTCATGTTCTTTAAAACCCACTTAAATAACATCTTTAAAAGCTATTCTTAGTGTTTGCAAAGGCTTAAGAGTGAGTTGCCCAGCCATGCCATTTAGATGCCTTCTAGGGGTCTTCTAAAAAGTGTTTTTTTTTTTAAAGATTTACTTTATTTTATTTTATGTATGCCACATGCATGTCTAGTACCTGACAAGATCAGAGGTAAGTCACCTGTACTGGAGTTACAGATGGTTGTGAGTATCCATGTAGGTGCTGGGCACTGAGCCTGGGTCCTCTGCAAGATCAGTAAGTGTACTTAATGACTGAGCCACCTCTCCAGCCCCCTCAGGTGTTCTTTCACCATTGTTCTTACCATTCTTAGTAGTATGACTATATTTAAGCTCAAGCTACTAGTTAATTTAATCTATTTGCATCTAGTATATATTTCAGTGTGTACCTCTCTGTCTTAACTGATGTATATTTTCATTGCACTCACTCATCTTTATATCTCCTTAGTTACTTTACATGGATAGTATCCTGTTGGTAGGATGACACTTGAGTAAGTAGCTGCAAAATACTTGAAATTTGAAAGGTAGTAATATCCCGTGGGCATGTACAATAGCAAAAGGACACAAAGGTGACAAATGAACAATGACACATTCTCACAAATTTGATGGAAATTGCACATTTTTTCCAAGAGGAGATGACAAAGATGTTTATTGTTGAGGAACTTGGAATTTTCTAGGTAGGCAAGTAAGGGTGGTAGGGTTTCCCAGAACAAAGAAATAATTAATGTAGAGCTTTTCAGGAGCAGAGAGGTACAAGTACAGGGATGAACATGTAAGGGAGAAACAGGACAAGTTTTGGAAAGTATTGTTCAGATGTTCTGAAAGTACACTCTAGTCTCCTAAGAGCCCATGTTGGGTTAAGGATCCCAGTTATGTCTCCCAAGAGTTAGTAAACTTGCATTTGGAGCTCTTATTTATTTTTTTTTGCTCAGTTATTGCCTCTCTTCTACTTGTAATTCCTAGTCTTCCTAATCAAAGTTTGAAAGATATAAAGTCTATAGTGAGGAGTAGGGGTCTCTTCTAGACTCAGGTCCAGGGACTTCAGTGACAAATGGCCCATATGACTTTTAGACTTTTCATTACTGCTCGTAGATGGTGGTTTCGCATGGGCATCTGAAACCTGAGTTTCTATTGTGTTTTCTTATTGCCATCTTAACAAGAATCAAAGAAAATACATTTATGTGCTACCTGACAGTGGTAAGTGCTGAGTGGATATTTATAGAATAAATAATAATAGCCGGCAAAATTAGATAGAAATGGTTCCAAATCATATTTTTGTTTTTGTACAAAGAATGATCATCATTCCACAACTAATTTCAAGAAAACAACACTGTAGCAAAAATTGTCCATTTCTAAAAGAAATTAGGTATAACCGAATAATACTAAAACCTACTAAATAATAGACTCACTAAGTCTCCTTAGAGCTATCCTAATAATTTTAAATTACTGTTCACAAAATTAAATTTTTATTTAGTATGAGGAAAACCTTTTGTTTACTATTAATGTCATTGGGTAATGTCTGCATTCCACAGGGCAATATAAAACTCAGCCCCTTTCCTTAATCCACTTCCTTCCCTAGCTTCCTCTTGACTATCCCCATCTTTCTCTCTCAGTTTTTCTATAAGTCAAGGCTTGGTTTGAACTAGCTAATTTCCTGTACCAACCTGCCAAATGCCACATTTTGGATGTGCACCACTACTCCTTAATCAACACTTAATAATTTCTTCCTTCTTTGTGTGTGTGTGTGTGTGTGTGTGTGTGTGTGTGTGTAAGAGAGAAAGAGAGAGACAGAGACAGAGACACAGAGAGAGACAGAGAGAGAAGGAGAGAAAGAGAGAGACAGAGAGAGAGAGAGAGAGAGAGAGAGAGAGAGGGAGGGAGAGAGAGGGGGGTCATCTCACTATGTAGCCCTGGATGGCTAGTAATGTACTGTGTAGTTAGGGCTGGCTTGATGATGGCCTTCGTACCATCATGCCTGACCCTAACACTTTTAATGTATAATTTTGGCTTTTGAATTCTTAAAGTTATCAATCAGATTTTTTAAAGGGGGATAGAAGAGTGAGAGGTGGGAAAAGCATAAAGAAAGGTGTCCATAAAGGTGGCAGAAGTCTGGAGAACATTTCTTATTTGATGACAACAATAATTCTGATTTAACTACGATGATATAAACAATAAACTCTGCTCCTAATTGAATAATCACAAAGAAAGCCCTAAGCAGAAGTAAAAAATTGTAAGGGGAAGTTTTGCTATTTTAACTTTCACAAACATTTGTCAGATATTAATTTCAGCCATGCTATTTATCGAGTATACACTAACAACTGCAATTATTCACAAATGTAGAGATGCAGCTTGTTCTCTGAAGAATGCTCGTTCATTGGCTGAAACTCTAAATACTCTTCGCTGTCATTGTCTGTATAATAACTACCTAAGAAACTGCACTTTCTCCTATAATAAGAAACTGGCTTTGCTGGTTAAAAAAATAAAACCATGCCATTTTTGAAGTCCTTTCTCTTATTAATTTCCTATATTCAAAAATGTAATTCAGGTTAGCTGCAGAATATCTATCATAAAACCTGTATTTAAAAGTGTTTCATCTATGAAGTGTTTGAAAGGAGGTCAGAAGTTTCCTTTTACAGAGGTGGATGGTAAATATCACAAGTCAGCAGCATCACTTCATGCAAAGCACAAGCAGAATGTAACTCAGCTCAATTTGCATGCAGGGGGTGACTCTCTGAAGTGGTATTAAGGGATGAACCAGGGTGGATTAATTTCCAGTCTTTGATATTCATTAACTCCAGCTTCAGAAAAAAAAAATACAAGGAGATGACACAATTACCCTCAGAGCTTCACCGGAGAGCAGCCGCTTTACAATTGGAAGTTCATAGTGCCATGCTAATTGATCAAGCAGGGGCACATACCTTTAACTGAAAGGGCTTAACTACTATTTGCTCCTAACTATAGTAATGGTGGTATTTGGAGATCGAAGTCTGCTTCACTTTGGAAATCCTTAGCAATCTAGTTATTGTTATTTAATTTTTTATGCCACTTGTCAATAAGTTTCAGTAATTTCTTGTCAAAGAGACTCATTCAGTTGCTAAAAGTAATGGTGATGAACGTAAAATGTCCATTTCATTTGAATTAAGCAGCATTTAGACTTACCTAAATTTTTGTTCACTGATTACACAACCTGTCAAAGGCAGATTCTTAGGGAAAAAATAACCTTCTGTAAAGGCAAAAGTCTTTCTATTAGAGGGCAATACAGAAATTATCACCAAGCTGCCTCAAATCTCCAATGAAAGTGCTCTGAAGGACTGGGAGGAGTGAGCTTGCTACGGGGCAGAAGTGATAACCAACATGAGGCTTATTTACCTCTGGAGCTTCAAAGATTTCTGGGTCCATGTGTAGGATGGGAGGAAAGAGAGCTACGAAGTCCCCCTTCCTCACATGGTAGCTGCTAGTCTCCAAGTTCAAAGTCATATCCTCTTCAACTTCCCGGATGATGGTGGAGTACGAGCACAGCCGCATGACCTCGAAGATGGTGCTTTCTGAAGGAAACAAACAACAGCTCTTGTAGCCTGAGTGCTGGGAGAAGCAATCTCTGTTGGCTGTTAGGACTCATTACCAACAATGTTGCCTGGTAGGAAAATAGTTTTGTCACACCCATTGAGACCCAAGAGAGTCAATGAGGCTGTGTACCTAAAGAACGTGGTGGCTTTGTCCCAACATCGTTAGATGATTCACAGGCAGGAGGTAGCTGTGCTGTCTATGGAGTGAGGAAAGGAGTGAGAAAGACTACTCACGAACATAGTCACATGAATCTATTACCACCCCCTCCCTTCCCAGCACACTACTGGAGGGTTACTGCACCAGTCTTTAGAGGAGCAAAGCCTTTAAAGCCAGGCTTAGCCACTCACCAGCACTTAGGCAGTTAACAGCAAAGTAATTGTAGTCGATGCACTTGGAGACAGCTTAACACTTAATTTCTCTTACACCAGCTGTAAATAAAATGAGTCAGCACTTGCTGGAAAATTTTCAAAGGAACACATTTTTATAGGATTCGGAGGAAAACCACATTTCTTTTTTTCTCACTATCCAGGGAGAATAACATTCACCATCATCATATCCTGGAAGATTCCAGAAGCCGAATGTCCTTGCTATCCCTGTGGCCTTCACCTTTTGCTCCTAGCACGACAGATTTTATGGCTAATTTCCGGCGATTTATCCTGGCAGTTTGAGGAGGAATTCCTTTGGGAATAATATGCATAATTTGCATAAATCATTCTGATAGCATGCATATCAGTGTGTAGCTCCTGTCTAGGGCTGCATCTCTCCCTTCATAATCAAAACTGACTGTGTTTCCACCAGCGTGAATGGATCCTGGAATATAAAGGTTGATTCTTTCTAATCAGCAATGTGAAAGAGCTCCAAATGGAGCTTCCCCCTTTCACATGGTAATAAATGATTGTGTTTATGACTTGCAATTTAGAAACCTCACACACACATACACATGTTCAGAGCCTGGTTTCTTGGTGCCGAGCACAATTCTGGCATAGCCAGTCCCCAGTTACTAGATTATTAAAGGCAGACCCATTAGTGGTGGCTTGTATACAGAAAAACAGAGAAATAAACATTACTTTGGTAAAATGTAAACCCATGAACAACTTGCACAGGGACATGAAGTAGCTTTGGGTGCCTTCTCCCAGGAGGTTTTTCCTTAAGCGTGCATTTGTCTAAAGAAATGAGGCTGCGGTCAGCTCTGTGTGGACAGTGTGGTTATTCAATGTGACGTATAGTGAGGCTGTGCATATTCTCTTAGACTGCCTTCGTTATTCTAATCAGGCAGAGTCAAATCGGTTTGCTGGTGATAAGGCTAGAAGAGAACTTTGGTTTTGGAACATGTAAGCTACTGCAGATAGCCACAAGGCACCTGACACGACAAATTCGGCTGGCAAGACCCCAACAACCAACATTTCTATGGTGAAAATCCAGGATCCACTTCCCATGTCCTGCTGCTGGCCCTGTTGGACCAACAATAGCATAGCATCATTTTAACATGTGGTATGAAATAGTAGCTGACATATGTAATAGTCTGTACACACAGCAAGTCCAGTAGGGTGGGGGGAGAAGAAATACAAAAGCAAAATAATGCTTGGGGTGGCTGCTGTGACAGGGTAAGCATTTAACAGTCTGAATAACACGGTCATATCCGATTGGCTGGTGTGCTCTTGGGAAGCATGGCAGCTTGTGCCCACTGCAGTATCACAAATGACAATTGGGCAAGCATATCTTATGCAGAAGTTAATCACACTAATGGAGCTGAAAGTGTGGCTCAGCAGTCAGATCATAAGTGACAAATCTGTTTTACCTTCCAGTACCAGTTATGTGTGCAAGACGAGGTTGGCTGTTGCTCTGAGCGATCATGCCGATAATCATTAGGCGACAAAAGTAATGAGTTGTGTTATTATCGCCAGTGGAGAGGGTAGCTTATAGGGTCTGCAGTACAGCATCGGGACACAAAAGCCAACAGCATTTCTACCAGCCCCAGAATGAACATGGGCAGAACTATATGTTGAGAAGAATGACAATAGCACAATGAAAAAAAAAAAAAACCTGCAGCTTCTCCTTGTAGTTGTCATAGTTGAGCAGACACCAGCCAGTGCCATTGACAGACCAGCTGGGCCCTGGAAGGACTTCCATGCTACACCAGGAGGTACAGTAAATTATCCTGCACGGTAGAGCAACATCTGTTTCTGTGCTAGTGCCGAACAAACAAGGCAGTTTAAAACATACCAAGGGATAACCAAGCAACAAATGAACATGACCCTCATTTTTTTCCCCTTCCCTTCTTGCACATGAGATGCTAAACTTCATTGTGCAAGCATTCCATGAAAGAGAAGCCAGGTTTTTATTTGATAAGGTGTTGTCAGAGAGATTTTACATATTTCCAAAATGGAAAGAAAAAGCTTATAGTATTTTTATTCTTAGAATTGTCCCCCTTCTATCTTCATTTCTTTTATACTAAAGCTAGCACTTGGTTCTCAATTTGCTCTAGAATTAAAAAAAACAACTTTCCATATACTTATAAATATTCAGTCTTTAAACCTAATTTGCTATACTTAGTTCACATGCCTTCAAGCATTTGTCTTCCAATTCCCACTGAATAAATGCGTACTAATGAGAACTGGAGCAAGCTGCTGAGGCAAAGCTGGGTGACTGGGGTCTGGCCTGCCACCAGCTTGTGATAGGCGGGCAAATTGAGTTAAAATGAAAAGTCTTGTCAGCTAAAATTCAACATGGTAGCCAAACAGCAAGCTGTCAATCATCCATCCAAAACAAGGGACTATGGGTAATAAAAGGTCACTGTGAATCATTAGTGCACACGTGGCTTACATTTGGAAGTTAATTTTAATTAAACATGATCTCTATCTGTAAATGTTTTATAAAACTTACTGTGCAAAATGGATTGATAATTTATGCAAACATTTAGCAAGTAATAGGACCCTCTAATTATTAGACTGTATTGTAGAAAAATGACTATTGAGAATGCAAATATTTGGGGGATAGATTTGCACCAGGCATTGCAAGGTGCAAATAGCCATAGCTGTGGTTAGTTATAGCTGCTTGTATAACTGTTAAGAACTGAGTTTTACTGATGACCATCTACTAGACAATTGGGTCACAGAATTTTGATGATGAACTCACAGTTTTGAGCCTGAGATAACTTGTTTACCCAGATAGGATAAAGGAATTTCTTTTTTAAGATAGATGACTAATAAGATTAAAAGTCCCTTTTAAGTAGAGGGCTGGGCATGTGTTCATCTGTGATGTTTTACAATCTAACTGGAGGAAAAAGACAAATGAAGAGAATTTCTGGGAGAAAAATGCACATCTGCTTTGCCTTTGGAGGAATTCACAAGTGATTCCCATTTGCAGATTTTAAGTGCCCAAGCAGATCATGATAATCAATAAAGCCAGCTACAATGGAAACACAGATAAGCACATGCAGGTTTCTGCTTCATACTTAGGCCATGTCTGTATATGTGGAATGAATGTACTGTGACATGGCTGGACTGTTAATTTGGGTCATCTTAATGATCGGTGCAGGCTGGCGTACCATCTGATTAGCCATGGTGATCAGTGGATAGCAGTGATGGCAGGAGCGAAATGAGCAGCCAGCTCCACTATGGTCACTGGGGCTGAACACATGGATGGTCATAAAAAGAAAATAGCTAGGAAAGGGAAGGGAATGGACATGAAAATGGTGTTCTCTAGAAGGCATGATGCAGTGCAGCTCAGCTGAGGATGCACACACACGCGCGCACACACACACACACACACACACTTGGGTGTCTTTATATAGCTTCTTTAGACAGATGAGAAAGTAAATAAGAATTTGTGATAATTGATATATTATTTGAAGGAAAGTCATAAATTTTTGGATCAACAATTGTGTATTTAAATAAAGTTAAAAATAAATCTGAATTGGTACAAATGCCTACCTTCACACTGCATTGCAGAAACAGGCTTTAGTTTCTGCTATTTTTGGTTTCTGCCATATATTTATACACATGTAAGCTAAACATACATATGCTCAACAAAACTTTGTTAAGGTCTAACTGTGCTCAACACACTGGGACACAGTGGCTAGAACATAGAAATGCAACAAGTGAATTTGACCTGCACTCATGCAGCAATCTGGGAATTCAAAATTGAAAAATACATATAGCAAAGAGGATCCTAAGATAGTACTTTAATGTGTACTATCATTCTCCCTCTCCCTCCCCCTTCTCCCTCCTCTCTCTCTCTCTCTCTCTCTCTCTCTCTCTCTCTCTCTCTCTCTCTCTGTGTGTGTGTGTGTGTGTCTGCCCACGTGATCAAATGTGCATATATGTGAAGGTCTGTCTACCTCATGGAAACCCAGAGATGGAACTCAGGTTGTCAGAGTTGAGGCAGGGGACTTTATTAACTGAGCACATTCACTGGTCCCCAAGCTATGCCATCAGCATAATCGGCATATGCATTATCTACCAGTTAACTGTTAGGAAAGCTCTAATCTCTGAGCATCTTAATTTTGCAATTTTCTTCTCAATGTACTTTCTTTTTTTAAGGTGTAAGCGGTGGGACTCAGACTTGCACATGTTAGGCAAGTGCTCAGTCCCTGCACTACACACACAGCAAAAAAAAGGGTTTCATGGATTTCAGTGTGTGTG